TGAGTGGTTATATGATCATTATATGTTGAATAGCCCAATTGAGCCTACCTTCCTTTAGATTATGACAGTTTATAAATCCTATTATGTGCCAAGCCAAAAAGAGAATAAAATAACATCCCCAATTGAGAGTATTCTTAGGCTAATGCTTATGAACCACGGGGGCTTATGCCCTTGGAAAACTGACACCCATATTAACTAAACCCCATATAAGCTGATGCATCAAATGGGGGAAAGTTTGTGATTATCAAGTCATATATTGTATTATTCGTTAAGATGTATAGGTGACATCCACTATTCTCCATGAATAATCATATGTATGATTCCATCTGCTCTTTCATTGGTCTACTTGTGTAGAATGTAAATGCCTAAGACCATTTTATCCTAGGGATAGTGTGATCATACTCTTTGCATTCTAATCACGTGAGCAACATCCTTTCAGAGGCCCATAATAAGTAATAAAAAGAGGTAGAATATGAAGTTGCCTTCACCCTATAGGATTAGAAGGAAAAATTTGTGTTCATTAATTTAGTTGGCAAAAGTCTTATAAGTTTTTATAAATATTTTATGATCACAATTTGTCTACATCATGTTTGTGCATGAAAACTTAATTTTGGATGGATGGATGATTTTTGCATTATAATAATTAATGCAAAGTTCATTATATTTGTACAAACACCAATCATGATTTGTTTTAGCCCATGAAAACTTGACAAGCTCAAGATCTTAAAAATCACATTAGAAAGAGTATTTAATGTTAAATGGGTCATTTAAGTTTTAAATGTGATTTAGACTATATTTAGGGCGGCTTTCTTCCTGTTTTTTAGTACACAAATATTTTAAACTAGAAATTTTTATACTAAAAAGTTGTTTTAGAAAGTAGTGCGAAAGCAGTCTCAAACGAAACCTTAATTATGATTATACAACAGATCTTAAAGTTATTTAATATTTATTTAAATAATATAATAATTATTGAATTTATAATAAAATTAAAAAAGAAACATTTATAAAAAAATAAAAATATATGCTTAAAATAATTATTAATTCTAAAATTTAAAAAATATTCTATATTTAAATAATAAAAAAAGAGTTAATATTCTCAAATTTATGATAATTTATTTGATTCATCTCTTCTTTTTGTGGTTATAATATAATGAAATTCTTCTATAAGAATCTATATTTTAAAAAAATCAATTTAAAAAGTAGAAGAAGATTAATATCAAATAAAAAATGCATAAGTTAAAAATAAACTTTGAATGAATAAAAAAAAATAAATTTTTATCAAATGCCCTATGATTTGGCTATTTAATTGATTTTTTTTTCAATTTTCTAAACCTGACCCAATTAATTGATAATGCATCAATAGATACTGTCAAAATTCATTTGGACTGAGGCCACAATCTTAATTCAAAGAAAAAAGATTGAATTAGCCACTAATTTTTTTTAAAAGAATGAAAATATTTTCTATTATATAAAAATAACAATTTATTTGTTTGACTATTTAATGTGAATTAAATTAATCATTTTTAAAAAAATATTTAGGCCATTATCCCAAAGAAGTAAAATGTGATTATATAATATTCAAAAATTATTTTTATCTTTTGATTTTTCATAAAAAATAAAGAAATAAGTTTCATCCTTATCTCAATTGAATTGTGTAAATGGGGAGAGATGTGATGATGACTGAGGAGCCGTTGTGCCTATCTGGAGGTAGCTTTTCTTCGTGACGAAGGATGGGTACGATGTCGCTCTTTTTTAAGCTAGTTGGTTAAAGTCGCTCTCATAAATAAAATAAAATAAAATAAAATGTCGGCCTTTGCAATAGTAAGCCTTGGGTTCAAACCTTAAAGGTGGTCGGTGCAATCAACTCCTTCCTCATTCTGCACCATCCCTTTTTTTTTTGGGAAATTTTTTCTTTCATTTAAAAATTTTTTTTTTTTTTTGGGAAATGACCATCCCTTCGTTATAGTCGGATATTTGGCGATCGGGGGTGCGAAACACGACGAGTGAGCGTTTGCGAGTGTGGAAGAGAGAGAGAGAGAAGGGCGAAGCAGACATGAGCTACCAGCAAGCCCCAACTTCCTATCCTCCACCAGGCAGTTCGATGCCCTGCCAACTTTCTTTTCGTTATTCATCTTTTCTTTGATTTTTTTTCCTGCCATCTGCTCTCTTTTCTAGGGTTTCTTACGACTTTTCTAATTTGGTGTTTTGATTCGTATACGGAAAGGAAATGAAGGGTTTGAGATTTCGATAACTGATTTTTGGTCCAATTGAACGAAGTTTCTGAATTTCATTTCGTTTTCACACCCGGTCATGCCAGCATTATTGGCATTTGTTCGATTTAGTACTTTTCCCCAAGTTATGCTATGCCTTTGTGTTCTTTGGCGTCCTTGCCGATTGGTTTTGTTGTGTGTTGATTTTAATTGGTATTTTAAAGGAGAAAAATGATGATTTGGGTTATTTGGTTTGTTTTAGGGTATAGCCATCCGTACCCTCCACCGCCACCTCAAGCAGGGTACGCTTATCCTGGTCCTGCTCCGCCTTCCTCTGGGTTTTATCCTCCGCCTCCTCCGCCTCCGGGCTATCAGAGCTACTTCAATGATGACTATGGCCAGCCGGGACCACCCCCGCCTCAACCTCCTTCTCAGATGTATTACCACCATCATCACCACCATGAAGATGACGGTTGCCTTTCTTTTTTGAGGGGATGGTAAGATAATCTAGACGGTGTCCTTTTTCGTTCTATTGCCTGTTACTCTTCTTGTGGAGATGTGGCATGTAGGTGCTTTTATTATCATTTGGAAAAATGCCTTATTTGCTTAGTGGGAGAGATTTATTGTAAAAGAATGCCTGCGCAAAGATCTTGCGCCTTCCTTAGCAGAATAGAAATGAACAACAAATAAAGATGCCTTAATTTCTGCTTCTAATTATTAGGGAAATGCAATCATAAATCATAAAACATTCCTGAAGCTTCTCAAAGCATGTGAAATACATATGGTTTGAGCCCTGTTGCTTTTTGAATTTGCTGCACAGCATAATATTTTGAAGTGGGCATAGTTGGTTTTGCAACACAATTATATTTTTAATTGCTGGGCTGAGTTGATTCTCGAAGAGCACAGCAATGTTTAAGAAAATTGGAAATCAATTTAAACATGATTTAACAGCTGTGTTCATACAAATTCACCTTTGGTAATCTATTTACAGGATTTATCCTCAGTAATACTATAATCAATTAAGAAACTGCATTCATACAATTTCAATATAAATGATCAATTTGTAGGATTTCTTCCATTTTGTGAAATAGGTGGTGAAATAATGATCTTTTATCAATTCTGATTAGTCTTTGTTGTGGCTACGACACAATGCATGTCCTATAAAGAAAACTCTAGCAGGTCATCAACATTATTAGTACTCACCCCAGGCACAAAATGCCATTAGAAACATCCTCTTTAGTCTCTGTTAAATCGGAGAATTTGAGAGGGAAAAGCTTGTTC